TCTCAAAAATAAATAAACATTAAAAAAACAAAAAAAATAGTAAAGTAACAAGAATTTAGAAGTATTCAATTTGCAACAAATGCAAACATTATATGCATAATTGGGGTCGCAGAAAATTTGTTACACCAGTATCTTTGACCTCTCCTTGGTGAACAATTTTATATAGAGGTTGTATGTTGAATTCTCTGCCTGCCCTCCCCTGCTGCTTCATTTGTTTTCTTATGGTAATTTTTTCCCACTTTCAAATTTAGGTGGAGGAACACAGTTAATTAACTTTAAGTGTGACCCTACTTTAGTTGGCTCAAAATGTTAAGATGCTGAAATTAAAGTGTGTATTTGTGACATGAAACAGGCCTTGGAAATACTGGATGAGGGAGTTCTCCCACTCCTTGGGATAGGAAGTAGAGGGAAGGATTTTGGCTTTCGCAAAGCTCAAGATATTTGTGTGAAATCACTTTGGAAAGTCCTTACCTAAGATAATCCATAAGGATTGAGTTGTCATTGTCACCGGCCCCAGTTTACCTTTCCTTGGAAAGTCCCGAGGACAAATAAAGGGTCCTGTAATAGAGGTAGGGTGTGACCCAGAGCCTTGTGGAGAAAAAGAGGTCCTAAGAGTAGCCTTCTGTTCAATTTACTAAACTCTCATCTACTCTGTCTCTGTGGCCTACCTAATTAATTAAGACTTAGGAAAGTGCTTTTTCAGCTTTGAAACACTCCCACCTTTTACGGTATCTTACTTGTTTATGGCATCTACTCAGAAGGAATGTCTCCATATGCATGAAGAGCAGTTTAATACGATGGCTAAGAATGAGATTTAAATCCAGACTAAACGGATCAGAATCCTGGCTTCACCACTTATTAGTTCTATGACCTTGGGTAAACTATTTATACGAGCTGTGCCTCTGTATTCTCATCTGTAAAATGGGAATAAAACTAGGAGTTTGGGGGAAGATTTAAACTAGCTTATACATGCAAAGCACTTAGGTGCCTAGCATATGATACATGCTTAATAAATATTAGTCATTATCATTAGTTGTAATTGCAATTTCTCTTAACAATCAAGTCCCTGGGGCACCTGGGTGGCTCAGTCAGTTAAGCCTCTGACTCTTGATTTCCTCTCAGGTCGTGGTCTCACGATTCATAATGGGTCCGCTGACAGCCTGCTTGGGATTCTCTTTCTCTCTCTGTCCTTCCTGCTTGCTCTCTCGCTCTCTCCTGTGTGCGTGTGTTTTCTCAAAATAAATAAATAAACTTTTAAAAAAAGTAGGAAAAAGTCAAGTTACCCATCCATTCCTACCATCCCCATAGCCCCTAAAACAGACACACAGTCACTTGTTACTTTCAGTTTCCACCTAATAAAGCATGGGCGTTGATTGTTCTAAGACAAATAAAGAGCCACCGAATTTTTTTTAAGGTTTATTTATTTTTGAGAGAGTGCGAGCAGGGGAGGTACAGAAAGAGAGGGAGACAGAGGAGCTGAAGCTGGCTCCGTGCTGACAGCAGAGAACCTGATGCAGGGCTCAAACTCACACATCGTTAGATCATGACCTGAGCCACCCGGGTGCCCCCAGAGCCGCGTGATTTTTAATTACCACATACTGTTTTTTTATATGGATATTTCTTGGTCTACTTTAACACTTTAAATGAGCATCTTTGTATCTATTGCTTTTTTCATTTTGCCCAGCTATCATTAGATTAATCCTTAGAAATGGAATTACTGATTGAAGTATATGCTTTCAATACTGATTGAAAGTATATGCACTTAAAATTTTTGGATATAAATTTGATACAAGTGTTCAACGAAAAGTTCTGTTTGGGGGCGCCTGGCTGGCTCAGTCAGTTGAGCATCCGACTCTTGATTTCAGCTCAGGTCATGATCCCAGGGTTGTGGGATCAAGCCCTGTGTTGGACTCCTTGCTGGCCATGGTGCCTGCCTGAGATTCTCTCTCCTTCTCTCCCTCTCCCCTGCTTTCTCTCTCTCAAGAAATAAAATAAATTCTGTTTGGTTGTTTCCATGTCTTTTAACTTAATTAATTAATTTTTTTAAAGTAAGGTCTAGGCCCAACACGGGACTTCACCTTACAACCCTGAGATCAGTAGTCCACGTGCTCCGCCGATGGAGCCAGCCAGGTGCCCCTGATGGTTTCCATGTTTTGCTGTTTTGGGAACCCTGGGTCTGCTGCCTCATTTTATTCTTTTAAGCTTTTGTTTAATTTCTGGTTAGTTAACATACAGTGTATGTAGTATTAGTTTCAGGTGCGTAATATAGTGATTCAGCGTTTCCATACAGTACCCTCTGCTCATCACAAGTGTGCTCCTTAATCCCCTCTCACCTATTTAACCCGTGCCCCTGCCCACCTTCCCTCTGGTGCCATCAGTGTGTTCTCTACAGCTACGAGGAGTCTGTTGGTTGGTTTCTCTTTTTCCTTTTGCTCATTTGTTTGTTTGTTTGGTCTTTTTTTTTTTTTTTTCTCCTGTTGATTACCTTTTTTTTTTGTTTGTTCGTTTGTTTTGTTTTTAAATTCAAGTTAGTTAACATACAGTGTAGTATTGGTTTCAGGACTAGAACCCAGTGATTCATCACTTACATAGAACAGCCAGTACTCATCCCAATACTCATCACTTACATAGAACACCCAGTACTCATCCTTAATACCCATCACCCATTTAGCCCATTCCCCCCAGCAACCCTCAGTTTGTTCTCTGTATTTGACTCTCTTAAGGTTTGCCTCTTTCTCTGTTTTTATCTTATTTTTCCTTCCCTTCCTCTGTGTTCATCTGCTGTGTTTCTTAAATTCCGCATATGAGTGAAATCATATGACACTTGCTTTCTCTGACTTATTTCGCTTAGCAAATAATACACTCTGGTTCCATCCACGTTGTTGCAAATGGCAAAATTTCATTCATTTTGATCACCAGGTACTATTCCAGTGTGTGTGTGTGTGTGTGTGTGTGTGTGTGTGTGTGTGTGTGT